AGGGGTGATGGCCTCTGCCAGCACACCAGGCATCAGGAGGGGACACCTGCCTGTGACAGAGGGTGTGAGCACGAGCTGATAAGCTCACGAAAGCGCACAGCATGGCTCGGGCAAAGAGCACGCTGCAGAGGCAGGTGGCGTTGGCTGAGCTGAGGCAGGTTTGGAAGAGATTTGACCAAAACAATCACTTTTGTGCTGCTGGTGGATTTTGCCCTTGTTTTGCACTCTGAGCTGAGCCACACTGAGTTCTGACACCACTGCAAACATGAGTCCATTTTTACCTCCAACCACAGCCTAACCAAGGGAAATGCACAGGGCCTTCCATTAGCATACAGCAGCGGGCCAGCCTCGGTGCACAGACCGGCGCACACCGGAGACAGCCAGGCCCTTCAGCCCCAGCAGCCACCTCCCGCTGCTGGGGACGACACTGGCGGAGTCGCTCAGGAGCTCCCTGGCCCACTATGGCTGAGACAGCAAAAAGCAACCAAGCCCGCAAACTGTCCTGGCATGTGAGCATGCTGCTTTCCATCAGAGAGTTCAAATCAAACAGCTTCCCCAGCTCTCTCCCCTCTGTGGTGTTCAATACCTTACCTTTTTACTCCTAAAATCTAAGCCTGTTGCAGTCCCTGACCTCTCTCAACTTCCAACAGCCCTTGAGCAGACCACGACGGGTTCTTAAACCACAGAGCACACAGTGCACCACACTGATGGGTGGCTTCAGTAAAACCCAAAAATAAAACTCCAGAGCTCAAAAGCACCACAGCAAACTTAGTTAAAAGACCATTTCAGACAGAAAGCAATCACAAGCCTATTAATCTTTCTTATCAAGTCCTGGAGCTGTACCTGGGCAGCTGTAATCCCACAGGTTAGGCCACGATATGAATGTCTTTTCCCCTTGTTTACCTGGACTCTGTTGCAATGTGGCTTTGACAACGCTGTGGGCTCTTGTATTCAACAAAAATACCAGCATTGTGCAGGCTCCAGACAGAGCCAGACGGCTTTCCATGTAAACCACTGGATTATGCCAATATTTGACGCATCTGCCAATATCTGGAAAAACAAGATGCCCATATTGTTATATAATAGAGAAACAACTCGGGCTTGGTGTGAAGGGCTGCTGCCTCTCGCTGCCTTGATCCCGGGGAAGACAGAAGATGACAGAAGGAGAATTCCAGTTTCAGCTGAGGCCGAAGCCTTTGCACGATAGCTGCAGCAGAGATGGGAGAAGCTGGAGCCCTTCCTCCTGCCTAAGTGGCTTTGGAAAAAATCAGGCTCTCACAGCAGCATCCTGAGCACACGGTGGGGTGCTGCATGTGCTGAAGAAGGAATCTATGGAGGATTGGAAAGGAAGGGGCTCTCCTCTTTCCCAAGAGATCGCTCCGGTGCCCCCTTCCTGCTCAGTCTGATGAAGGGGAAGACTCCCATTTGAGATTCCCATGTGGGCCATCAGGGTGGCCAGAAAGGGAGCAAAGCACCCAAGACGCTTCAAAAAACCAGAGCCTAACATACACCTCTCTGTTCCAAAGAGCTGAGGACAACCTTTTATCTTGTGACACCTTTATCCTGGCACCTCTGGCTAGGACAGAGCCCCTCTGCCACTTCTGCTTCCTCCCCTGTGCAGGGCCAGGGGGAACCTACAAACAAGTTCCTCTGGGATGTGGAGGGTGAGCAGAGCGAGGATACCCCCTCTTCTCCGCCAAGAGCTGCTGTAAGAAAAGGTGTGACAGCCCCTAAACAGACAGGACAGGAGACTGAAGCAGAAGAGAGATGAACAAGCCCAGCAGCCCAACAGCCCTGCAACACGCTATAGGTGGCTGCATGTGGAAGGAGGGGGTGCTGGCCCCTGAAACGGCAGCCCCACTGCTGCCCACTGGGCACGTGCTGTTCTCTCCCCTTTCACTTTGTGCCTGTGTGAGAGCTTCTGACTGTATTTGGATCATCTACTTCTACCCCCCAGCTCCCCTCCAAGGCTGAGCCCCCAGGCCCCTCTGTCCTGAGCCTCTATCAGAGAGGAGCCCAGCCCTTGCTCCATGCAGCCCCTCCTTGCGCTTGGCTCTGCCTGGCTGCAGAGGGCTGTAATTTCACAGCCTGCTCTCCTCTCCGGCTCCCAATGACATCATCTGCTCTGATTATATAAAGCACAGGGAGGAAG